CAACAAACAATAAATGTTACAAACTATGACAGTTCGTCTCTGCTAATCTTTACAGATGAAAATTACTGCGTGGAATTGACATCACGAGGTTGGAGGATTGTTTCCGGCACCCACGACAAGATTTCAAGCCCTACGACTAGTGAGCTGACCAGTACTAGTCACTGCTATGAAACGATGTACCAGTTGCTGGACTCGTTATCGCCCGAGTACAGGGTCAGATTTAGCAACAAAGTAGCATCCGAGTTGGAAAGACATTTACGGACAGAAGCTTCGTAGCGTAAGCCAACAATCCCCGACCAAACTTCGTTGGTTGCCGCATATCCAGAAAGCCACTGCTCAAATCTGTCCAATAGTACATCTCTGGGATATTTACAAAGTCCGTCACCAGCTTAGATTTTTCTTTTTTTTTTTTGCACTGAAGTGAAACAAGGAACTTAACCCACCCACTTCAAGCTAGATTTGATGTTCGTATGATATTTCCAGTTACTCCATTTGCTTAGTTGGAAAGATCCTTTTAGTAATCCAGCTCCCATGCTTGGCTTACAGTACTTGTGAGCCTCCACCAATCATGGCAGTGCCATCATTTTTGAAAAAAGTAGAATTTTATTACATACTCGGCTTCTGACGTAAATCGAGAAACCACATAAAATTACAGAAGTAAAGATTTTTACAAATATAAGCATTAACTACGACTGACATTTGTACTGGTTAGTTATACAAATTTAATGGTATTTCAAAACCATTTTTTATCGAAAACATCACAAAAGTCTGTAGAAATTATGCTCTAAAGCCGCGTCCTACCCATAAAAAGCTTTAACATTATTACTTTTTCCAGAAACTACTGTCATGCTATTTTTCGACCCCCTCCCCTCCCTGACTCTGCTTAATGTAACATCTCAAACAAACCACATCAATAATGGTATAAGCAGTAAATATAACGGTGCTGATCTTTGAAATTAAGCGATCGAAAATAGTTTTTTAGGGACCTGCTTAACTGACTAAAGCTGAAAGTTATGTACTATACCACCTAACAGCGTAAGGCAACATGAATTTTCCAAAAAGTTGGTCAGACACAGATACTTTGAATTCATAAAACAATCAGGAAGAAAAAAGATACGTGCATCACTCGGGGAAAAAAAATATATCCTTAAAAGCAACGCAAAAAAGACCCTTTATTCAAAAGTGAAATACTGCGTACTTGAAGTTCGCACCTTTGGAAATCATCTTGTAATATTCCGATTGAACGTAAAGAAAGGTAAAAAAACACCCTGTTCACGCACATAAGTACCCCTGAGCCAGACATACTCTTCGCCCATATGTTCAGCAATTTCAATCAGTGAAGAAAGCTCATCAAGCAACTGTCGAAAATCACTTTTGTTTCTTACCCACGACTTCAGCTCAGTGAATGTCCTGTTCGTCTACAAAAGCAATGATTAGTAAATTCTTTTTTACAATCCTGCCCCGGTTTATTTTTACAAGTTACCAAATGACTCAAAGTTTTAAATGATGAGTGCAAAGAAAAAGTTTATGCTCAGAATAATCAGCTTACCATTACTTCCTTTTGCAGTACGTCAACAGTTACTCGTTCTCCTCTAAACTTGTCAAGTATTGACAGCAGCTTTAATATTTCGAAACGATAAGCTTCTGGTTTCATAGTCACAATATCTCCAGATATTTCATAGAGGTGTGGTCGCGTACGTATAAAGTTTTTAAGGTGAGAAAAAATAACGAAACTGGAACTGAAATAAAATCTTGACAAACAAACTGGCTAACAAACAAGATATAAAACAAACAAAATAACGAAAAGATAAGAGTAAAAAGCTGGCAAATGAAGGTCAACCAAAATTACAGGCACTCTCAACGAACCTTTGGTAGATAACAATTACTGTTCAAAAATCGCCTTGATCTCTGAGAATGAGCGACTATCTTACGTTTATGACAACTAGTATATTTTCTATTAATTTAATTTAGATATAAGACACTTACTGGTTCAAATAATGTTCAAACAAATCTCTAAAATGAATTTCGCCGCCATCGATCAGGTTGTCAATTTCCTCTATCCGTCTCATTTCGCTTTCAAGAAGATCTCGGAAAAAGAATTTATCACGGCTCGACAGTTCAGTTTCAGCCTTTCTACTTATGTCAGAAAAGACTTCGGCACCCTCTTTTTTTCCAACAAGTCTAGGAGCAGAATTTGGAGACTGTGAGCGTTCATCTGAAAAACTTCAAGATATGAAAACAGCTCCACTGCGTGAAACAACTGCATTACTCACTAAGATGTAGTGATGAACTTCTCAAGCTATCATTAATGTCAAAGCCTTGCTTGAGGCTAATGGATGATGCAGTCCAAGGCAAAGCAGCATTATAAGCACGATAAGCATGGCACAAAACCTAAAAATAAGTTTCCAAAAGATAGATCAATTTGTTTTCGGTGTTAATGAAAAAAAGTATAGTAAGTACCTTAGTTTCTTCAGGAAATTCAATGCCTACATTATCAGTAGAAGTTAAATTTCTGGAAGTTACGTATATTGGTTGTCCACGATACTTTCCCGCTTTGATAACTACTTTCGCGTAATCAGATTTCGGACACGCCTTAACAACTTCACCAATAAAATCAAACGCAATACTCCTATCATACCTGTAGGTAAAATATCTCAGCATGAAGCATGAAAGTGGAAAATAATCAGAGCTTAACAAGCTTACCTAATTTGATTCTTCGGGTACGTCGGAAGAGCAGAAAATTCCCATGCTGAAGCAACGGTCCAGGCATTATGACTTAAGCTCACACTTAGATCGCCTCTGACATTAAAGAAATTAGGGTGTGTCTTAAAAAACTGAAACAACTCTTCGTCTGAACCTCCAACCTCTTCAGCTATCACCTAAACTAAAAAAAGAGTCAAAAAATAGAGAAAAAAATGAATATACTTACAAATATGGTTGACTTTATTGAAGTGAAAAAGTTACTAGCTCTGTAACTACCCCTATGCAGTAGCCAAGTCCTGATTTATAGTGAGTACCACCCTATCCTAAAAATATGTTGTTTACTACTCATATTAGTAACCCAAATCACCTATACTTCTGGGTATTATTCTGAGAAACATTTTCGAACTCATTTTTCAGTTTTATCTGTCTAAGCACTCACTAGTCCGTCACTTCTAAAAAACCAGATGAGCGTTCACGAAAAAACTACCAGAAACTAACTAATATCTAACTGCTCTGTGTCAGCACCAAAAAACCCAAAATGAGACAAATTCACCCCACGTACATGTCAAATAAGACTGACAGCGGTTGATAACTGAGTTGCAGAATCACTATACACATTTCACCTAAAGTACTTTCAGCCACTGAAGCCTTTCTAAAAAAGATAAGTTGATCTAACAGTAAAAAGAAAACACATATCTCTCACATTTCTGTAGTCCGACAAAGCTTCTACGATCCCCCAAATACTGAATCGTTTATTGTTGTCGCGATAAATAAGATAAACAAAGTCAAGAAACATCTTTCGAAACGGCGTACACCGATTCCTAACAAGACCATTATGCATATCAAACATGTTGGAACGAGACATCACGTACGCAAACAGTTCATCAGTGGTGCTTGGTAACCTAGCATTCTAAAATATCAATGAAATACAGTAGCTGGCATCAAACGAATCCAAAATTTGTAAAACCTGCTCTAGTCAGTTATAGCATGCAAACTTTGTGAACACTCGGTTAATAACAGAGTCCCAAAAAAAGGAACAACGCGACTAATACAAAAAGTTACAAAATACGAAAAAAAAAAAAAAAAAACATTACGGAAAATTAAGAACCACTCCAAAAACCTGGAATCTTCTCATTTCGAGAAACAATTCCTTTAATTTTAGTGCACCATTTTTTGCCAAAATATCATCGATTGCACATATCTTAGCCCGTTCAATACTGATCGACTTTTCTGAGAAAACTGGAGGTGAACGCTTGCTTAGGTCCATCTAAAAAGTTAAGGTAAATTAATCAAAGTAAAAAGTCGGTACCGGTTGGGAAAGAAAATTGAAATGCTGCAGAAAATCGCTCAAACAAATAAATCAGTGAATAACTTTGAAGATGAAATGCAAGATATGTTTTTCAAAAAACCTTTTTCTTCATTAACTATTTATTGTTGTAGTTAAGTGCGCCCATCCAAAAACATACCATTTTACTGCATTTAACCCACCTTTATTTGTTGTATTTTAGGCTATAAATTCCGCTTAATCATTTGCGAAAATTTCAAATTTTTCTGTATTTCCCTCCACGACCTTCCAGCAACCTATTAACAAGATGCCGAGTTAACTATTTCATTATTTCATAAGTCTGATTTGCTAAAGACGTGCTGCGTATGAAATGCCATAAAAGTCGAGATGAGACTTCAGTAATAAGTCATGAAAAAACTAATGAGTATAGAAACAAAGCTGAAATTAATGTAGATGAATCCAGAGGGTCAAAAACTTCATCCACAAAATAGATATCAATTAGATTTATCTAAGACTGATTATGCTTGACTATAATAGCTCCGTCTACTATCTACCAGCTCCTAATGTGTAGACACATCCACTCTACACGATTTAAAAAGTGGGAGCCGTCAGTAAAAATGTTTGACCTGGAAAATTACAACACATAATAACCTTCCTTTCGACCAGTGCCGTAACGAACTACTAATGCTTTACAATCAGTCTGACATACCATTAAGAACAGCGCAGTAAAATCTTGACAGCCTAGGCTAGAACTACGGACAATAACTGTCCGCATACGCAAAAACGACTTCAGCGGTAGCAACTAGCCAATGTTACTGTTCAAATATTGAACAAACAGGCTGAAAAGTTTTATCAGTAGGCTATCGTTTCTAAAATATGTTGCCGATAAGTTTAATTGTCGAGATGTTTGGGTTCTTCAAATTAAAGAATGCATTTCACCACGTACCAAGGCAGTTGAAATCAGCTTCCTTCAACTTAAAAGATGTCATAGGCCTATTAAAAATATCCTAAGGCTTTTCTCAATGGCAACAGATGATACTGACTGTGGTATCAAAACTGTCCACTTGTTGAAAAAAGAAAAAGCAGATCCCATACATGATATCTTTTTTCAGTGTATCTTTCCTTCTTTCATCTACCACTAAAACAATAAATGTATACCTACAAATGAGTATTGTCATTCGACAGTCCGTTACCAGAATACACTAATCAAAAATACAGCATTCCAGCCTTACGCCAGTCTGGGACTCTTCCAGCACCAACGCCGTAACCAGCAACAACCGTCTATTTTACCAGTTTTACCAGCTGGTTTTGACTTTTTACAGGGAGCAAAATTTTTTGCTGGCAGCAACCCAAAAAGCTGTTGTATCCAGCCAAAAAGCTGTCAGAATGATATTTGAAGTGAGGTCAAGACCTGTCTTTGTCTTGGGAGAACCTGATGGAGACCGTCTCATTAAAACCGCCTTTTGATTGTATGCAATTAGCTTCTGATCTTTATGATCATTTCTACTCGACGTTTATTCAGTTAGCAAGAGTACGGTTTGAAGTTGTTTCTGCTAACAATTGTTTTAAAAGTCTTTGGAAATCTTGATTTTCTGTTTTCTGCTTGACTGCTCGCCATGCAGCAGTTTTGCCATTTCTTGAACCATATATCAATTGATCAACTCGATTCTGCCTTCCACTTATCAATTTTGCTCTTTCGGAGGTTAAATTCTTGATAGTTTCAACGGAGCGAACAATTTTTGTAAATTTTTTACAGTCCCGGAAAGGTAAGTTTTCTAGATAGACATTTACTTTGTAAATTTTTGCGAATTTTTAATTTGGAAAATTTTATTTGGTACGTATTTGTAGTGGCACTACAAAACAGTGGTTGCAAATGAGGTTATCCAAGGATTTGTCTCCAAATTACTCCTTTTTTTGTGTTCCTCCCTTCAGATCCAATAAAGCCAAGTTTTACTCGTGAATCTTTTGAAAATTTTACTTTTTTTTTTTTAAATTAATGAACGGTAAAGTAGATTCCAAAGGTATTTGCAAAGGATTTGAGGATTGATTTGGTTCACTTTGAATGAAAATATCTGAGGTTGCGAGGAGCTTAACGTGTTGTACCTGATTCATGAGTATGCGATTTCCTACTGCAACCATATTGCCTTTATTATTCTTTTGCTCCATTTCATCTTATGAGGACTGCAACGATTCTATAAATAACTGTTGCCATGCCGTCCATTGTTTGTGATTTCTGCCTAGTGTAAGGGAGGTGCCTTTCAGTTTTGATAAACCGTGTAAACACAGGACAGATTAAATTTTTTTTACAAAATCTTTCAATAACGAGAATATGTTAGATATGTCATTTATTAGTTGTCAACTATTTTTTTCGTTCCTTTTAATTCGATTTTTGATTTGTGCATGTACAGTTTCAGATTAATTCTATGTTTGTTTGATTATGATATTGTTCACCACTTTTTAGGTGTAGAACCCAAGAAAGATAAGTCTTGTTTGAATGCTTCTCAAAACTGTCGGGTAACGTCGAAATTTGGTACTTGTCCAGATTGAGGGTGAGCACTCAACACCTAGGTATCATGGTTAAAGTAAAAAGTAACCTACAATTAGAGAAGATAAATCTACGAGAAGGAAATACAGTTACCTGTTTTGAAGGAGCGATTGAGAAGTGTTTTTACTTTATTTTTATTTGTATCTGCACCTATGCTTATGAACTAATGATCTATTCAAATGCCTTTTCAACTTTTTGCAGCTAGTAGCTACTTTCCAAAAGAAGGATTAAATCGAAGACAGAGCGAGAGGAAGGGGAATTACTGAAAGCTGGTTTTTGGTATTTTATTAAAGGCAGTAGCTCTTTTATGCGAACATTAATCTTTTGTGGCTTTTCTTATTTTCCAAATGGAAGAATTCTGTCATCATTTTCTTATCAGATCACCTCCTTTTTTATCTTTGTGAAACGTACTTTTACCTTTATTGAACCATATGCTGCAGCACAATTATCGAAAGCAATTTCAGACCTTACACTGTTCAACTATCGTTTACGATCCTTATTACCCTTGCTGTAAATTAGTGGTGTAGAGCAGCTCTTTCACGGAGCTGACTTATTGTTTCTTTTAGCATGACTTTCACAGTAGTCGTTGACTGTCTAATTTTCTACAGTGTTAGATAGCACTGAAGGACGGATCACGAACGGCGGATGCTATTAAAAAAGAAAGCTCAAAGGGTCATTATTAGTGACCCTTTGAGCTTTCTACTTTTTTATACGTGTAATATATCGTAGTTCTGTTCTCCACTTCAGTTTTTTTACAAGGAAAGGCCTATTCTCTCAATATTTGTTCTTTTTCTGAGGGAAGATAAGAGATAATTACGGAACGTCAGATGGTCGGCGTGCTACAGAAGTGGTACCAAGCAATCGCTTCTCAACTGCAAAACTCTCTTCTTCGCTGATTACTTCGTGCCACGTCTTTAAGGTTTTAGAGGTGTTGAAGTAATGTTCATTTTTTCGCTTTTTGAATGGCGCAATTCTTACTTGATCTGACAAAGCGGGTGGAAGCCATTGAGCGGTTTATTTTGAAACAGGCAGGTTTTGAAAAATGTATCGTCATGTATTTTTTTTCTGCATCAGCATGTACCGTTCATTACTGCTTTTTCCATATTATTTCATCGAGTGATACTTTTGCCTAAGCATGGCTCTGCATTGCATTCTTTCCTCCTTGATAATCATCTTAGTTGTTTTGAACTGTACTCTTTGTGCGTAAATTTGCAGCCAAAAACCTAATTTCCGTTATTTGTTTTCATTTTTTGAAAAGTAGATAAGAAACTGAAGTTTCCTTGACAGTTTAAATTTCACTTTTTACTTTTAAGTTTACATAAAATTTGATGAAGATACTCAAGCCAGAGCACTGATTTTTGAACATTCCAAAACTCAGGAACTGAATTTTATTTTATTGTTGGAGCTTTGCCGCGAGTACTTTTCTGGCACGTCTCTGAGCAGCAAAATCAAGAAAAAAAAGTCTTTGAAGCACCTAGGTGGTTTACAGCTGGTTTTAATTACTTTTAAGAATTTTCAATTTCCTTTTTTTTTCTCTTTTTCTTAATGTTTTGTCGGATACATGTCGCTTTTATCGTTCTTGAATTTAGAATTGAAATAAACTGTTTGTGCAATATTTTTCTTGCATAGCAAAGTATTAAAATTAAAAAGATGAAGGAGTTGGTTACAAATGAAGAAAAGGATGCTTAGAAACTGTTTGTAGACAGCGAAACAGAGTTTAATGTATCATGTGTTATAGCCTAACTAAGTGCACAATCTGAAGATGATTGAGCACGGTGAATATAGGCTACACGAATTCGACTGTTTTCCACCAGAGCAGTGAAATACTCTTTGGAGTTATGAAAAATATTGTACTCTAGTGTACAAGGTACGCCAGTGTTATGATCGTTCTCGCTTTTTGATGTAAAAGCCAAAATACAACAAGTGGAGCAGTTCTATCCTGATTACTGTTACAGTTTTTTTTGCTGCAATCTCCAAGTTTTGCTGAAAAACTTACTTTCTGATGTCTATTTTAGTCTTTCATCTCTATAATGTTGATTGTTGTATAAAAGCGAAGGAATAGATGGAAAAAAAATAGGAACAACGATTTTCACAGGTGATTAGAATAAAAACCAAATTACTGGAATCATTGTTCATTTGTACTAAAAAATAAAACTAAGTGGGCGTTAGTGAAACGGACTGCGATCAAAGCAGAACATTGAAAGCAAATAAGGAAGAAAAAAGTTTGGAGTGAAGAACCGTACCCTAAATAGCTGCTGTTGAAGATCCTTGTTTGCCGACCATTTTTCCGGGTGGGACTTTAACTGTACCGCACTGGCAAATCATCATCTGCTTTCGTTGTACTCATTCAGAAGCAATTTAGATCATTTGGATGAGGTCTTATCAAAGGATGTGCTACTTGACCCAACAGATCTCTTTGTTTTCTATGATGCCAATC